TCTGTCTGTCTGTCTGTCTGTCTGTCTGTCTGTCTGTCTGTCTGTCTCTCTCTGTCTGTCTGTCCGTCGGAGTGAATAAGAACAGAACTGTCATGCTGCTCGGGGCGGTTCGGAGGTTTCGTGTACTCCGCGGAGGGTTCGGTGGTTCCTACAGGGCATGTGCCAGGCGGTTCGGCGCGATGGCTCGCCATCGTGTGCCGACTTCGGCTCTCGTGTGCCATGTGGAGCACATGCGGTTTCTGTGATGGTGGGGGGCCCCGATAGCTAAAGCCCTTGCTGCTTGAGTTTGTGTACGAGTCACGCCCGCCACAGCGACCAGTCACGCCCGCTGTAGTGCTGGCGTCCCAACTCTCGCTCTCCCTCTGGTAGGGCCCTTTGGCCCACCTCTCACAGCAGTCTTCCACTGAACCAAGCAGGAACCAAGCCTACCAGCTGTTGTTCATCTGTATTGTCACCCTTCCCAAGCCCAAGTTCATCCAGCCAAGTCATGTTGAGTGGTGTCAAGTCATGTGCCAAGTCTAGAAATGTCTGGCCTTCAACGTGCTGAAATGTCCCGCCGCGACGACGAGGTCGGTCGCACCCGGCGGACCGAACGTTCCGTTTCAAGACACACCAAGGTCCATCGGGTCTTGAAACCTTGGGGCGAATCGTCACACGTCAAGACACGCCTTGAAACCTTGAAACCGGGTGAATCGTCATGGGGCTTTTGAAACCTTCCTTGCCCCTGAAGAAATCCAAAATCATCCAAATGGCAACTGAAGATCCAGATCCCAAAAATCGTCGAAGAAAACACATCCAGAACCATACACGTGCAGTTTTGGGTCCTCAGTTCTCGGTTTTGGTTCCTCTTTTCAGTGCCCCCAGGCGATGTCCGATGTCCACCACCCTTACCCCCAAAATCGACCGCTTCGTCTACACGTCACCGACCCGTTCGCCCGGAGCTTTTCGCTGCGCCTCTGCAAGAGCTGCACCAGCTCCACCTTCTCCACCAGACCCTCGTCCGAAAGGCCGGCCCTGCGTGCGGCACTCGCTGCGTTTCTCGGTCGCACTGGGAGAGAAGCGATTGAAGTCTTAAGGGTGAGGGGCAGACGCTTTGAGAGAAGAACAACTGCTTCTTGGGTTTTCCGAGCCGTTTGATGGGAATGCGACTTCTGCGAGTCACCGAAGTGCGGGAAAAGGGAGAGAGAGGGCCGCGCACTCGTGGGTGGGCGGGGTGGGCGGAAAGATCACCCAACAAGGACAGAGCAGTGGGATTTTCAGCCCCCCCGAATCCACACTTCCGCGGTGGAAGCTTCCTGTAAATGGTTCGGCGTCACTGCGAGTGGCTCAAAAAGTGTCGACCCCGACCGTTCAACACTTGGGGATCGAAAGACGGCTTCCTTCTGACTCCTTATGCCATGGACGACCGATTCGAAGCAACTTCTTCTCTCCATCTTCGGGTCCAGGCAGTACACCTTTGAAAGCCCATTGAGGCGACAAACCACCGCCAACCTCAAAGAACATGTCTCATCTGGAACGCCCCATTTGAGTTTGAAAACCTTTGCGGGCAGGGAGAGCAGCCAAAAGCAAGCTGCTGAGTACTCCATGGTGGAATAGTTCAATGGTACAGAGATAGACACGGATCCTTCGAATGTACCAAGCCCCTGGCTCTGCAATCAGCTGTTTGAGCTCCTTGACCGAGAGCCTGGCGAGCTCAGTCCCGCTCTCCTCCTTGTTTCACTAGCTTCGTCCCCCAACAATGGATTCAACTCCAAGTTTCAGCAGGAGACTTCGCACGGTTGGTGCAGTTAGTGGAGTTAGTGCAGTGATTCGTGCAGTGATTCTCTTAGATTCTCTCATTGTCACACAAAGCTGCAGCCCAGAAATCCAAAGCTGCGGCACCAAAAACCCATCGGCTCCGCTCTTCAATCGCGCCTCGACAAATCCACCTCCGCGCACGGTTGGAAACCGCGGTTCCGCAGCCGGTGAAGAGAATCATGTAGACTCTTGATTAATAACTCCCCATATATGAACAGGATGTTCCAATTCAAAAGGGGTGGTTATTAATCAAGAGTCTACTTGACCGAAAAGTCTTGCAAAACATCTCCATCGCTCAAGTGCGATCCTCATTTCGGGCAGCGCCGCCAGCGCCGCAACCAACACATGACTCACCACAATCAGAGAGGTGGGTGGTCGCGGCAAGGAAAGACAAACGCTAGGGACAGGTCTCTCCTGACCAATCAAACCATCAGGTCGCTCATCTTCCGGAAACTGGCTCAGGGTCATTTGAACAAACTACCAAAAACATGTTTGAAGCGTTTCTTGCAAAAAGAAAATGAATTCTCCCGGCAAGAGACCCCAAACAGGAACACAACACAGCCTGTTTGAGAAACGGGACCGTCTACATAGCAAGTGGTGAACGTGTCCCTCCCGTGGTCGCTGCTCCGAACAGCTATCGGTTTCAAGGGGAATCGCTCGCCGGATCGCAGAATCTCCCTCACAATCCGGTAGATGTCTGTCTAAGACGCTCCCCTTTCAGAATCGAACCGGGAAAAAAAAACACGGGAGAGGAGGGCATCACTTCTAGGTTGGAGGCCAGCGCTAGTAGGTTGGAGGCCATTACTACTAGTATAGCAAGAAGCTAGTAGCTTGGAGGCCACTGCTATTAGATGTCGTTTTACTAGCAACAAGGGCGTTACTACTAGTAGCAAGGGGCATCGCTACGAACGGAGCGGTCGGACGCTACGAACTTCGCTGGACAAACACCTGGCCTGTCGCTCCGGCGAGGCTGCACGCTCCGGCGTCGCCGCATCTGCCACGTCGAAGAGGTCCCGCGAGAGCCTCAGGAATGAGTGCGCCGCGTTCTTGGTCTTTTTGGGGCCGTTCGGAGGTGATGCCGAAGGAAGGCAAGCTGTAAGAAGGCACTGTAGAAGGCACCCTTTAGACGTTGGGTCACCACGGTCACCACTTGAAAAAGCCTCCATTTCGGCCATCATTTCGGAGAGCTTTTTCGAGTCCGGTGCTGATCGAAGTTCCCAGTGTTGGGGTCTTGTAATGGGCGGCCGCAACCAATTGACAGGTTGGATGGGGGGCGGGCCGTTTGATTGGTAATGAGCTCTTTATGGAGCCTGCAAAAAATATCGCCTTTCAATGTTTCGGAAAATGGAGATGGCTTTAGACGTGTGCAAAAGGATAGGTGTCATCCCAAGGAAGGGTTTGGAGGCGTCGGTTCGTGATGATGTACCTTCGCTACTCTGGCGTCGTCGACATGGGTAAGGTGTGGCCGCTTGTTGTGGGTGAGCCCAGGCCATAAGCCCTTTTTCTTCTTTTTGGAGCCTCCTAAGACTGCCAAACAGAAAAGGATGCAGGGTGTACCGACAAACAGGACACATCCAGGCACCCGGCTTACGAAATGGTCTTTCACCAGGGGGAGGTTCTTTGCTGCATCAACCAGTCAAACCGCTCTTTCATCTGCCCAATCTGACTTTAGATCGGTGCGCCGACTACAAACATGAGGTGCTGCTGCTGGCCGTTTCTCCGTTTTGTTTGCAGGAGAAGATACCCAAAATCATGCAACCTTGATTGGTTGGCTGTACGTGATCTACTTGTTCAACCATGTGGTTTTGAATATCCTGAAAAAAATCAATTGTGCTTCTGTTTCCCTGCCCATTGGAAAGAGGTAAAATGCTAAGCCGCTGAATTGCCACCTCAGCAAACCAAGGCTGTACAATAAAGGGAGAAACCAAATCATTCCAAGCCAACTCCCACATTAAGTCCCAAACGAGGCAGGACTGCTGTTCACTCACTTTCAGGCTAACTGAGGATCAACTTCTGGCCAACACCAACCCAGTTCAACCGCACGAATTACGCCACTGGCATGCATGGCTGGCAGTTCTGGATTTTCGAAGATCGTTGGGCCAAGCGACAAACTCGGTCAGTTGTCCCGCTTTGGTGGACTTACCACAAGATGTCACAAGTCGCTTGCAAGTAGTTGGAGGTGACGTGATAAGTTTCATTTGGGAGAATATGATTCATTCAGCAGTCTGACTCGTCCATTATTGTTTTCTTTAGAAAATTTTGCCCGAGGCCGAGCACGTTGCAAGCTCCCAACGACCGTCTTGGTTTGGCCGACCTGGTTCCCCTCTCAGACGCTTTGCCAAGCCAGCGCTGGTTCGGTGTACCTTGGCGACTTCGGGCGCTCCGAGCGGTGATCGGCGTTGGAAACCGGTGCGAACTGACCGAAAGCGGTGAAAGAAGAGCCCCCCCCGTTCCGAAAACCAACGCCCAATTGGACGGAAAGACCAAGAATAAGGGTCACTTAGATCATGTAGCACATGTAGACTTGCTCCTTTCCAGGTCTACAGCACCGGGTGCCTAAAATTTCACCGGGTGCCTCTCCTTGTGTGGGTCAAAATCTGGGGCCTCTTTCACCCTGGTGGGTTGACATCCCGAAACATAGAGGAATCTGTTCAACTGATCCGCAGTCAACCAAGGGTGTCCTGGGGTGCCATGGCCCACAGCCAACTCAGAGAACTCAGCATCTTTTCTCTGAGGTAACAACTCGGAGTTTCGACCGACCAGCGACCGCCGAAGCACCAATAGCTGGCAGATTGATGAGTGGGTGCTCGATCCACATGAGGCCGGGCACGCTTCGGATCAGGATGATGGGACAACAACGCCTCGCGCGGTTGGGCAAAGAGCGGGGTGTGGAAGCGGGGTGGGAGTCGTTTTCGGGGAAGTCGGCGACCGGCACATCGTGAGTTGGAAGAAAAGTTACCCTCCCTGAAACTATCATGGAAGTGGACAAGGCCCTATTTGTAGGAGAAAATGATTCCCCACTGCTTTTGGGTGCTTCTACGTTCTCCAGCTCCACTGGTGCTACTGCTACTGCAAGACTGACCAAAATGCCCTCAGTCGCGGCCGGACGTCTGCCGGTCAGCCGCCGGTGCTTCAACAGGCCCTCGCAGCAGCCTGGAGTCGTAGAACACTTTTTCTAATTGTTCTATTCTTTCTGCAACTGCGCTCTTTTTTCTGCAACTGCACTCAACTACAACTCTTGCAATATCTGAATTTTGCATTGCACTGCAGTCATGAACCACACAATCATCATATCCGGATCTTTGTACTGCACTGCTGTAACACAAAAATCCCAAATTTCTAAAAATTCCAACCCAATGGATGTTGGCGCAGCTAAGACTATTGGGTCAATAGTTTTATATTTTGTGGAATGTTTGGAATGTGACATAGTCTTCAAATCCAAAAATTCCAACCCAATGGATGTTTGTGCAGCTAAGACTATTGGGTCAATAGTTTTGGAAATTGTGTATTTTTTGGAATTTTTGGATTTGGAGACTGTGTCAAAAACAACAATTCAAAAAAACAAGCACTATTAACCCAATAGTAATAGCTGTTGCTGCACATACCTCTATTTGTGTGTTTTTTCTGTCTTTTATGTGTTTTGTTTGCCTGCTTAGTTTTGGTAAGAAGGCTTCAGCATGGCTATTCGCTTTGCATTTGCTGTTTGTGTGACATAGTCACTAAAAACAGTCAATGCGTCAGGATCTGCCCCTTAGACATTGACGTGTTTGTGTTTATTTGCTAAAGACGGCTACAATGATACTCAAGGGCTCATTAACCAAAACTAAATACCCATGTAAATACTGCGGTTTTGGCCTGACATAGAATATTAATAACGGAGACATAGCAACAAATTTGACAGCTCAAGGGTTAACCATGAATGTTCAATACTCTCAAAACATATTGTCACGTAGTTTGTGGTAGATGAATCAAAACAATTGACATACTATGTACATAATGACCCTACAGTTCTGACAGAAGAGCAGTTAAACATGTGGTATGTGGTTAAATTCAACCCTTTACTGTCAAGGACGATCTTGAATAGAGATTGTTCTTTTTTGATCATATACCAAAAGATAGACATTAAAATGGCAAGTATTGATACAAGGAAATACAACTCGAAAGAAGCATGGCACCAATAAAACTTCATGAATGTTATTCGATATACATGGTCACATGGTTATTTGATGAAGGTTCTTTGGAGGTTGTATTTTTGGATCTTAAGATCTTAAACAGAGATACAAGTGTTCGTTTACGGAGTTACTAATACTAAAATACAATACAATAACCCTAGCAACACTACTATTGGAAAATGTTTATTTTTTTTATAGAACAATGTTGCAGTATTATCAACATGTATTGAACGTTTAGTTCTTGTATACATAAACTACAAAATAGATACTACTTGTATATACCTCTCTCACTTGCTTTACATTACCAGAGCAAGAAGACATTGTTAAAATATTCTTACATGATATAGATACATAGATATATATAACAAATATATACTAAACATAGGCCTGCAAAACTGCAAAGCATAGTTATTCACCAGTTGAGCTGCTTCACTTACATTTCTATCACATGACACAAAGGTAGAAGCATATGAGAAACAAGAAAAAGGTGCACACTCACAGCGCCCT